TTGTGGGATGTGTGGGGGGTGGGTGTGAGGTGTGTGGGGGTGCATAACAGTGAGTGGGGCTCCCCCCAGAGGTGTGTGTATGGGGGAGACGTGGGGGAGGGTGTGGGTGGGTACAGTGTTTCTGGAGTGTATGATTGTGTGTGGGGGAGGGTGTGGTTGTTGGGTTTGCATAGGAGGGTTTGTAAGTATGGTGCGGTGTGCATGAGACCCCTGTATGCACCCCCCTAAGCTAGTCAGCAACCGCCCCCACCCCGCAACAGCCAGGCCACTGCCAACAGCGTGCAACCACAGCCTGCCTCGCGCATGCTCATTCCCACTGCAGCAGATCAGCTGGAACCCACGCACAGCCCTGATCCAGCCTGCCCCACCCCACCCTGTGCCTGTTCCACACTGCCTGCCCATGGCGCATCCTGCCACCCCGTGGGCACACAGCAGGGCTGGGGAGGCACCGCAACTAGAAGGCACCGCAACTAGACTGCCTTTCTAGGCAGCCCAGGTGGCTCCTTCCAGCTGCCACCACTGCCCCAGTCCCAGCTCTGTGGTACCAGCGGGGACCTGCACTGCACAGCCCTGTCCCCATGCACCCACCCAGGCTCAGCAGCAGTGGTGCGAGACAAAAGCAGATGCACAGGGTCAGGGCTGTGCAGTGCCACAGGGCTGGGGCCAGTGGCAGCTGGAAGGAGCCACCTGCCACCTGGGCTGCTAGAAAGAAAGTCTAGCTGTGGAGCTACCTCAGCCCTGCTGCATGCCCAGGGGGTGGTAGGACACACCATCACCTTGGCTGGATTGTGCCTGGGTCAGGGGACAAAGGGACCCACCACCCCCTGGACAATGACCCGCTGTGGGCCAGATCTGGCCCGCGTGCTGTATTTTGCCCATCCCTGTTCTATATGCTCATGTTGCTGAGGATATAAACTATGGGTTAACAACATGTGGCCCATGGGTGAGATACAGCTCATGGCATCATTGGATCCACCATGTAGCACTATAGGATGTTGCATTACACACCCATGCTGCGCTGTGGCTGAACAACAGGGAAAAGCAGTGGCAGCAACCAGGTCTTAGCACCAGTTCATCTGAGAACTAAACTTGATCATTCTGGCCCACTGCCAAAAAACACACTGCTGACTACTGACACCAACCCCTGGTGCCTTTCATTTAGTACATCGTCACATTTCCAAACCTTATAAACATAGGGATAAAAGGAACAAAATGAAACCAAAACACTGACAAATGAAAGAGAAAAGAAAAAATAATCTTATCCAAAGAGAGGACCAGACAGACCCCTCCATTCTCTGTCTTAGTATATCAGCACAGGCTGATGCAAAGCTATTCTTGGGCAATGCAAATCATTTGAAAGACAGTGCTAAAAGCTAGCAGTATGATGGTGAAAAACACTGCTTTGTGATTCTCTAAGCATCTTCCTGCCTTGCCTTTCCCTCTCCTTGCCAGCTGCTAATCCTTTCTTTGCCTGAACAAATCTCAGGACAACAGTATCAAAAGTTGGCATCAGAGTGCTTGGTACATGTGACGCCATTAACATGTACATGTGATGAAAATGTCACTTTGTGTGGCTTAATGGTGTCACACTGCACACATTCAAGTATTTGGGGGCGTTAAATGACTTTGCATCATTGCAAACTAAACTACATCTGGATGTAGTTTAGTTTGCAACAATGCGCTGCAGCTGTCAGCTCGCCCCCAGCTGTGGGAAAGGCAGGCAGGCTCCACAGAAAAAAAGGATTTGGCCCCTTACTACTTCTGCCTTCAGCAGGCACCCACTGAAGCAGAAGTGGTGAGAGGCCCGATCCTTTTTGTTGTTAGTGGTGGTGATGTTTTTTGGCAGAGCCTGCCTGCCTCCCCCACACTGAGCAAGCTGCTGGTAGGCTGACTGGACCCCGAACTGCAGGGGGCCCCAACCCTTCCATCTGCAGTGACAGCACCCCCCAGGGCTGGCTGGGCAGGCTGAGCGCTGTCCCAGCTCAGAGACAGCACCCGGCCTGATCCAACTCTTCTCTGTTCCCAAACTGGCTGGGGCAGTACCCAGCCTGCTGGAAACCCACCTGGATAGCCCTAGGGGTGCTGCCACTGCAGAGGGAAGGACCAGGGCCCCTTGCAGCTCAGCGGCCGCTTGGCCTGCCAACAGCTCACCCCCTGACTGGGGGCAGACTCCGACCAAAAACAAACAAACAATTGGGCCCCTCACTGTAATCTGGCAGAAAAACTGAAACAGTGGGTTTCAATTAAAAAGCCACCACTTCAATTTATGGGGCATAGAATGCAACCCCCGTCACATAGAATCACACTCACTTTTAGTATAACAACGCTATTTGCATACTCACAGTCATTGCATGGTAATCTAGCCAAGTCAAGATGCTATAGATCAGTGTTTCCCAACCTTTTGGTTCCAGTGGCACATTTACTGGGCTTCTCCTATCCCATGACACACCAGCCAAGTGTTGGGGGGGAACCAAGCAGCCGGTGCAGAGCATGGGCAGGGGTGGCACAGCTGAACACATCGCAGGGATGCAAATCACTGGCTGGAGCCATGCCCCCCAGTCTCTCTGCGGCAGCAGCAGGCAGGAGGCATGGCTCCAGCACAAAATTCTACAGCACACCTGGACTTGATTCATGGCACACTAATGTGCTGCGGCACACCGGTTGGGAAACACTGCTATAGATAGAGATTATATTAGATATTATCAGGGTGCATCTACACATGTGCTTTAATGCACAGTAGTTTATTTTACTGTGCATTAAAACATCGCATAAAAATCATGCTAATACACTAATGCGCAGTAAAAATAGACTACTGTGCATTACGCATTACTAAAATAGTATGTTCTTTCACTACTGCACATTAGGACAGCCTAACACATGTTTATTTAGTACCTCACATGGAAGGTATTAAATTTAATGGACATTAGGAAAAGTGCATTAATGAATGTGTAGTTATTAGGGGTGTGCAAAACAGGCCCTATTTGATTTGGATTCAGTCTGAACTGGGGACAGTGATTCAATTAGTTGATTCAGATCACTGTCCCTGAGTCGATTCGGCCAAATCTGAATCTGAAGATTAGGTGCTGATTTGGAGAATCAGAAATTCAGACATAGACACAGCTTTAAATGTTTTTTCTATATACCTCAAGGTAGCAGGCATGGCTCATGCATGCTGCAATGCTGGGGCAGATGGAGCGTCCCGCAAGAGTGCAGGGGGCCCCCCCACATGCTCGGCAGTGAATCTGGAAATGGACCAGAAGTAGTTCTGGTCCACTTCTGGGTCCACCAGGGAGCGCACTGGAGCCCCCCCCAAAACACTCCCTTGGCTCAGTGATTGGCCATGGGTGGACCCTGGGTGCCCCCCCAGACCCAGGAGGCACCAGTTGCTGAGCCAGGGGAACACGAGGGGGGCCCCTGCACGCTCCCAGGCAGACCAGGAATTTGACTGGAAGTGCTTCTGGTCCACTTCAAGGTCTGCAGCTGAGAGTGCTGGGGAGCCCCCTGCGCTTCTGGGGTGGACACTCCATCCACCCCAGGATCACAGCATTCATGAGCCACCTGCTACCTAGAGAGTTCCAATTTGATTCAGAGAGATTAAAGGGTCTCCTGATTCAATTTGGATTTGGAGATTTGGCCACTGAATCGGGCCGAATCTCTGCCAAACCAAATCAGGGACCAAAGTTTGCACCGCCCTAGCAGGCATGCCCTGAAGGTAACAATGCTAAAGGATACAGCCACACCAACATTAAGAGATGTCTCTATTCAGTTGCCCCCTGCTATGTGAGAAACACTGGAATTTGCACAACATGTGTATGAGAGAGATAAAATGGCAGAGCAGATTTTATATTTCCATTTATTTCTGTACAGAATCATTCAGATGCAAGTCCCACTAAGCCTTCTGCAGCACACCAAGTTCCACTGAGTTAAAACCATCTACTGCTCAATTTGTCTGTGCCAAGCTGGCTCTCTGCCACATATATAGTGCTTCCTTTTACAGACTGGCAACTGGAATTTAGAAAGGCCAATATCTACAGGGAAAGCAGAGCTGTAATGCCTAAAAACAGAGTTTCCTTAAAAAAAAGTAATCAGTTTCTTTTCCCCCAAGTCAAAGTGAGGATGAGATATTGGTTGTTGGAGGAGAAATGAGGAATATGGTTTCCATAGTCCCTTACATTCCTGTGGTATTCTTATAATAACTGGATATCTATATGTGTGTTTTCCTTCCCATATGTATAGATAAGGAATGTGACCACAATGTAATTCCTGTAAGTGGTGTATCAAATAGCAATCTAGCTCCATAGCGTTGGGTTGTCTATAGCAATGGTCCTCCTACTCTGATCATTTAGTTTAAAGTAGTTATTCTGAAACCATGGCATGTAGACTACATTCCAATGGTGCAAGGGTTGGTTCTAAAAAGACCTTAGGTATCAACGATTTGCATGCCCCAATTTTTGAATGTCCTACATGAAGCACCTTCAAGGAAATGCTTTCACAAAATGTTGACCTTCCATCTACTGAAAACTGGATTCTTTTCAGAAATCTCAAGTTGAATCTTTGAAAAATCACAGGATACTTTAGAAAACTGAGACATTAATCTTTATACCTGCCTCAGTAAATTCAGAAATGCACAGTCATCCTGAAAGCTTAGAAACCAACCAACCAACCAAAGGGCTATTATTTAATATAGACCCAAGGGATTTTGAGAGATCCTCTCTTCCACAGATGATGGCAGGAGTTCCATCTTAAATGTGTGGGTGTTTGAGGATGAAATAGGTCAGTAGACCACAGACCAAAGGGTAAGAAGAACATTCAGTCTATTCAAGTAAAATTTTTACCAAGGAGTAATGGCTGAAGCATACTTGGGATCTACTTACCAAGAATTGGGACCAGAGTAACCTGGTGGAAGTCAGAAAAGTTATATATAATTGATAATACTATTAAAAACCTCTTACTCAAAGTCAATGCTTTGGCACTGATCTCTTTGAAGTCGGCAGCATTACCTTGTTGTCCTCAGGTGTGAAGAGGATGCGAAATGTGGATGGCATCCCTGGTGCCACTTTGTGACCAATGTCATTGGGGCTGATCACTCTAAAATAAGGTGAGCTCTCCAGGACAACTTTCACCAGCCGTGGAACCTACCGGAGATATACAAAATGATGTGATCATGCAATTCACATGGAAGGACCAAGAGAATGATATTTCCCTGACCATCAAATGGTGCTGAAGTTACTTACTCTGCCTTTACAAAGAGCTTTGAAACCCAGAGATGGACGTACATGGAAAGGGAGAAATTAAACATCTGACCTGTTGTGTAAGCTGTTAGTGAGATGTCACCACAGAGACTGCTCAGCAAGCTAAGAAAAGGAGAAGACCTGGGATATATCAGTGTAAGCATAACAGCTGTGAGAGCAAATGAGTTCATCTAAGAATAAGAAGCACTGGAAGAATGAAGGAAGTAAGAGAATGCTGGGGCGGCACAGAGGGACAGCAGAAGAGCAGGAGAATGAGACAGCCAAGAGTTGCTGAAGAGAATCCAGAAAGGACAGTCCCAAACCCTCAAAAAGAGGAATCTACAAGAGAGTTACTAACTACCCCATGTGCAAGGCTGTTCTTTCCTTATACTCCTAAGCCACGCCTATCTGTTAATTCTATGCTTTAAGGGGGAATGCAACTTCTGTATTTTTTCTGTCTGAAGATATGCTATCATCAGTCACTTGTACAGTAGTTTTATTATTAAAACTAAACCTGAACTCTTCAGAGGGTTTTACTGCTTAGTGAGCTAATAACCAGACAGCTGTTACAGCCCAGTGAAGCCAGATTTCTGGATATCCTGTCAACACACTGGAATCCCTGCAGGGCATATTGCAGTGAGTGTTGCCCTTCAGAATACTGGAAGCAAACTGAAAACAAACAGGTGTTTACTGGTACATAGGCATCATGTTTAAAATACCAAATCTGTGGCTGAGAAGCTTAACTGGACATTTTTAATTAACAAGCTGAGGGTGCTTTGCAGGTGTACAAAAACCAATTAAGACTTAGGAACATAGAGATTTCCAAACCAGCTTAGCCTGACAGTCCAACTACAGCCATCCAGTAACCAGTCACTCACAGTCACTCTCATTGTCAATCCATATTGCTCTGAATTCGTCAAAGCTCTTAGCCTCAGTAATACTTATGGCAGCAAGTTTCAGAGGTTAATTTTATGTTATGCACGGAAGTCTTTTGTCATTGTATACAAAAATGACAGCATATGTTCATTTTTCTGCTGGATCCACCATTAAAATATCTGAAAACACCTCTCAGAAAAAGAGCTAGAGAAAGCAAGAGCAAGCAGTAGGCAGAAAAACAGTTTGATAATGTATAAATAGCAGCAATAGAGATGGAATATAGCATTCTACTTCTACATTTAAAGCTTACAGAGGCTACACTTGGACTATACAAGCAAATCAAAGTTATTATCACAGGCCTCAGTGTATTATAACTAGGTATAAGTCAGAGATTCTCAACCAGGGTGTTGAGGTACCCTGATGTGCTGCCAGATCCTTTGAGGGGTGCTACAAGGTGTGAGGAGATAAGCAAATAAACTAAACAGGTAAGAACAGACTCAGGCTTGTCCCTGCCTGGCTGGTCCCCCATCCCCACTGCTGAGACCCTCTGCAGGAGGTAAGCACTTAATATATAAATTTAGTTTTTGAAACAGTGCCATTCAATTCACAAAAAATATAGAGGGATTCCCTAAATCTAATGAGTGATGCTTAGAGTCTGTAACAAGTGAGTGTCCCAGGGCTGATCTCAAAGTAGGCCTGCCCACTTGCTTCCCAGCTGGCCACCGGCCAGGCTCTTCTGCCATGCCTTGATGCTCCTGATTATCAGACGTTAATCATGCAGGAGGCTGCCCTTTACCTGCCCTGATGAGAAGGACCTCTGTACACACGCTTACCTGCCCTTCACATGTCCCATGCCTCACAAATGTTTCTTGGCCTAACACCTAGCCTCATCATCATTACGGCCTAATACCCGGCTTCATCCCTGGGCCTACTAGCCCCATCCTCTGGCTCCAGGCCCTGTCCTTAGGCTCCAAGCCCCGTACCCAGGCCACAAACCTCACCTGGCTCTAAGCCCCGTCCTCAGGCTCCAAGCCCTGTCCCCTGTCATCACCCACTCTCTACATCTCTGAGCCCCAGGCCCCCTCACTGGGCTCTAAGCCCCTCACAATAGGACTAGGGCTCCAAGCCCCATCCCCCATGGAGCCTAACTCCTGGCTCCCTAATGTGCTCAGGCTCTCCTGTGAGACTGGGCACTGCCACGGGTTCCTCCACCAACCTGGGCCCTGTCTCAGGCTTGCAGTGAGCCTGGGCTCCCCCTGTTTCAGGTCTCACTGACTAGGGATGTGGAAGCTGATGTTTTCTGGCACCTCTACCCACCTTTCACTGGGGAGGTAACTGGCCTGGCATTTCTGGGGAGCTACCCCACCACAGTTCCACTGTCTCATTCACAGTCTCTCACTCACAAAGTATATGCATCCCAAGGTTCAATTGGAGAAGTTCAGTAAGTTAGTGGAAGCTTAAAAAATATGTATGCAGATTTTTTTCTACCTGAAGCAGGAACACAGTAAGTTAACCTTTTGTGATCCCTGGTGGATGGAAAAGATCAACATCACTTACTGCCCCATCTCCATCACCATTCTGATACAAGGGAATGGCTGTGATTTGAAGGACCACTAGTGCTTGGAAATGCAGCAGAGAGGGGATTAAAAAAAACTTAAGCAGACATTGTAGCAAATATGTGCACTACACTGAGACTCTCAGTACAGGAAAAATTATTCAACATTGTGCTAGAGATGATAAGGCATTTCATGGTGAATTACCACCAAACTGGGCCCCCTGGTCTGAGAACCTGTGCTGTAACACAGCTATATTTCCATTATTCCATCACCATGAAAATGCAATTCAAAAAAGGTGACTGAACTGCTTACAGTATCTTTTTCTCCTCCTGGGATACTGCCTAGTAGTTGGTTCCTTCACCCATCCTTGTCAGATTCTCTGTGGCATCTTTCAAATTACTCCACCACTTTCAGGAGGTGCTATGAGTCCTTCCATGAACTCTTGCTCCTTCAGCTGCAGAGCTTCTTGTGAATCATTATTTTGTGGCAGGCTTCCTAGTTTATTTCCTCTTACAATTACATTGTTAAAGGCATGCTTTCTGCTTTTCCGCTTTTGTCTTATATGCTTTCCCATCCTCCCCTGTACCTTAAATTTTAATTGCTAATATGTTTTTTCCTTACAGTACTGAATCTGATTACTTTTCACACTTTTGTGTCCTTTCACAATGACCATTCTCTATTCCTAGCATATTTACTGCTAGATGTCAAGCAAAACCCTTGGGCATACAATATTCTCTCCTGGAACACTTTCTAAGTCAGCTCCCTTTTCCTCCTCCTCCCTGCTGTCTTTTCCTCGAGGATCCATGCCAGCACACACCTCATTCAAGTAAATTTGTTCCTAGCGGAAATTTAGAAGTTCTTTATATACATGAGGAAGATGAGCTGAGATGAGTGGCCCAGAGGGCTTCCCAATAGGAACCACAACAGCATAGTGAACTAGTGACTCCACACACACTGGTGGGACCCCACAAGTAGGTTGGTGTCCAAAGTATAAACCTAAGGAAAAGTTTTTAATGGAGGCACATTCCTGTGTTCAAAATAATCTACCACACAGTAGGCAAGAAGTGCAGTGGACACACACTGGTGTGATCTGAGCAGACATACTATGTACAAGCTGAAGGCAACAAAGGGTCCCTGGCTGACAGTATTTGAACCTTCCAGTCACAAATCCCTTTCTGTTTTTCTAAGGACATCTCAAGGATAAGGAAGCCTACATAGTGTACAACTCAGAACAATCTGACCCTATCTTAGGCACTTGGCTGTCCATTGGATGTGCATCCCATCCATTGTCCTAACTGAGACTAATTTCCTGGGAATAGGCCCATTCAATGAATGGTTCTTAAGGAAAGAGGGAGGTTCCCTCTGACAAGAACCCATCTCCACCATCAGAAATTTCACCTCAGAGATAAGAACCCCTCTGCTGTAGCCAAATGCTAATGTGATCCAAGCATAAGAGTGATAATAGGGTCAGTATCATCAGTAAGTATGAGACTGCTCTTTCAGTTCATAACATGGCAAGCCTGAGATGCCTTGCTTTTTTTGTGAAGACCAGCATGAACCTTGAAGAAAGACAGAGGTATAACTGGGTGCTTAAGAACCCTGAGCTGCACCTGTGCATGGGACAGCATTAGTGATTATCTCGCCAGTGGTGCAGCGGCCACTGGGCTGGCAGCACAGCCAGCTACTTCTGTGCCTCTCCCCAGTGGCCGCTGCAGCCCAGCCCTGGGTCAGCACCCAAAACTAGTGCCCCAGTTGCCTCCAACCCCCTCACCTCTTCATTACTCTACTGGGAAGAGATAAACTTAAAAAGACATGTAAATGATTCTCCAGCACATCACAGGACCAGGCACTTCAAAGAAACAGGGAGTCACTATCACTCTATAAATGCCTTTATTTCTGTGTAGCTACTGCTAACCATGAGGAACAAGTCACCTCTTCCTGGATCCTAGATAGATCCCAAACCTAGGATTAATTTCTTAGGCTTGATTCCAGTGCTGGTATAGGGAGAAACAGTTCTCAGTGGAGACAAAGAGTTTGCACAAGAGATTTTGGCCTTATCCAACACAAACCCTAGTAAATCTAATTTAGAACTTTATGAAGTACTGCCTCCCTAAGTCCATCTCCTCAAAAGGAAGTCACATGAGTTAGAAAGGTCACTCCTGGTCATTACGAAAACCTTGACTTTCAGGGTCAAACACAAGGCCTTTAAAAGTCATTTGGCATATATGCAAGTAAATGCATCAGTTAGACATTTGAGTATGCAATACAGTGCTACAAAAGCCCTTTCCACACACTAATCAAAGTTTTAAAACATGGAAGATCTCCACTGAAGCATTAAGCACCCGGACACTCAAATTAGATTGTTAGGTTATAGTCACCTTGGAAAAACAGATGCTAGCAGCTTTCCTGGAAACAGCCGATTGTGAGTTGTGCTCCAACACTGGGCTAATAGTACAGTGATCAGTGCAATATAAAAACCTACATGAATTAGATAACCCCATGGATTTCTCCCAAACAATCACATTACCTTGTCATTGTTCCTCAGAATCAGAGGTACTTCGTAGATCTCACAAGGGGTATAGTTCTGAAATACCACTTCTGATGGAAATGGCTGAAACAAGCTTTGGTCCACGTCAACTGTTGAGAACTGAAGATACATAAACAAACATTGTTTAATCAAATGTATATTGGAACTGATGGGTCATGACAGACAACTCTGCATTGTTCTTTAGCAGGGTTAAGTTTAGAACATCTATATGAGCAATGATATAAAAGCAGTGGAAAACACTTGCCAAGGAGCAACTAAGGTCAATGAACTTAAAACAGGACTTTAGTGGAGATATTCCTGGAATGCATTTTACCCATAAGCTTTATTTCCTGCTCTCTCCCTGATATAAAGGCACCAGGATACAGTAAAATCCCTGTTATCCATCATGAGTGGGGAATGTGAGGTGCTGGTAAGCTAAAAGTGTCAGTTACCTGAGGCACAGGGTTTCCAGCCAGACATGGAGCAGGGCCAGGGGGGTTGCTGGAGCCACTGCCCAGGGTGCGGGGCTCCTGGGTCCGACCCCAGGGAAGGCAGGAGGGGCTGCAGGAATTGCTCCCAGGGTGGGCAGGTCCCAGCTGCACCCTGGCAGCTCTGGCTCTGGCCCTGCCCTGGGCACTGTCAGCTGCAAGCCATGCCAGAGGGGCAGACATGGAGAGCCCAGTCCTGCTCCCTGCAGCAGGTGCTGCACCCGGCTGCTCTGCATGGGCCCATGAGGCTGGAGCTGCTGTTCAGACGTGAGGGGCTCCTGGCTCTGACCCCAGGCAGGGCGGGAGGTGCCGGGGTCAGGTGTCCCCACCTCCATGTCCGGCCAGCCACCACTCCCCCCGCCCTCAAATACCAGGGCAGCCCAGCTGCAAGCTACTGCAACAAGGGTGAGGGGTGTGCATGCAGCCACGGAAGAAAGCAGCGCAGCAAGTAGGAAAGTGGCAGGGCACAGTGCAGCACCATGTGTGTCCTGCTGCTGAAATTCCAGTTAATGGAGCATTTTGGTTAGTAAAATCGCAGATAACAGGGATTTTACTATACTAGTGACTTGAGAATTTTATCGTCTGTAAAAAAGGCCAAAAAAAAAGAGGAGAAACATGTTATAGATCATCAGATTTATGCCAAAGATGATAAAGAAGAAAACTACATGATTAACATGACCTTGATAACTTGAAGACCGTAAACATGGATTAAACTTTATACATTTTTTAAAGAGTTTTAAATTGAAGAAACTAGTACTTTATTTTATTCTTTCAAAGTTTGTTTTAATTTATTCCGTGAACATTAGGGGTGCACGAAGCGGGCCCTATTTTATTCAGATTTGGATTTGGCCTGAATCAGGGACAGGGATTCCATTAGTTGATTCAGATCATTGTCCCTGATTTGACTCAGCCAAATCCGAATCTGAAGATTCGATGCTGATTTAGAGAATCAGCAATTTGGGGGAGCACAGGTGACAAAGAGCAGGGAAACCAAGGCAGTGCAGTAGGAGGGCACTCATGCCCCCAAGATTTCTGTGTCCACAGTGAGGTGTGGGGCTGCAGCCAGGCCAGACCAGCTCTGGGAAGGAGCCAACTCCATGGCCCAGGGGGTGGGTCCCGGCACAGGAGGGAGCACCATGCCACCATGGCCAAGGTGAGGTACCCCCTGCTTGCCCAGCACCAATGAGGGAACTTGGCCTCCAAAGAGAGGAATGGCAGCAGAGCCATGGCAGTGCAGCACTCCCTCCCATACCAGATCCCACCTGCTGGGCCATGGAGGCTGCTTCTGCCTGGAACTGGTGCAGCCTGGCTGCAGCATCACGCCCAAGTGTGGGAACAGAAATGTCAGGGGACACATGCCCCCACTTTTCCCCCCACCACATTGCCTCTACCCTCTGCCCCCACCATGTGTCATTTGTGCACACACACCCACTCCCTTCCTCACACACTGAGGGGCTGGGGGCATGAAGAGGCTGTAGGTCAAGGAGGGCTACGGGTCAGGAGTGAAGGGCACTGGCAGGACCAGGGGGCTGTGAGTCAAGAGTGATGGGCACCAGCAGGGTCAGGGGGCTGTGTTAGGAAAGAGAGTCATTGACAGAGCCAGGGGGCTGTGTTGAGAGTGAGAGGCACCATCAGGACCAGAGGGCTGGAAATGAGGGGTACCAGCAGGGTTAGGGAGGCAGTGGGTTAGGAGTGAGGGGCACTGACAGGACCAGGGGGCGGAGGGGGGCTATGTGTCGGGAGTGAAGGGCACTGTTGGCTGGGGGTGAGAGGCACCAGCATGGGCAGGGGCAGGGCACTGGCATATCAAGACTGCTCAGTGCCACAAAACAGTGTGGGAGACAGCCACAGCTGGACCTGTGTTCAGTTGAGCAAAGGGGGCAGGGAAAGCTCTGATTTTCTACAGCAGAACAAAACAAAATCAAACATCAAAATATACAGGTATTTAGAATGTATTGTATTATAATGATTGAGGCACTGTTAGACTTTGAAATGGCTTTAAAATTGTAAATATATCAATAAAACATTGTGGTCAACTGATACCTATATATATATATATATCTATATAGTGGTGTTTCATTTTATTCACAGAAAAACACAGATTTTGGGGAGTATCAGATAATTTGGGGGGATTTTAAATGGAGAATTTGGGATTTTTAAACAGAGAAAACCAGGATCCCAGCTGAATAGTAATGCATACCAGAGTTGTACAACCCTGGGGGTGGGGGGGCATCTGCTCAGTGGTGGCAGTGCTGGCAGGAACAGAGCCTGAGCCAGGATGTTCATTGTAATTTTCACTGGCTGTGACTCTTGCAAGCGCATGCCAGTGAGTGCCAGGGGACATTTTAATTTTCACCAGCCGTGATGCTTGAAAGGAAAGAAAATGTCACAAGTACCTAAAAAGAGTATGTTGGGGGGGGGCAGAACAGGAAACAAAAAGCACAGTTAATAACTGCAATGAAAAATGATGCAGACATGATGAAAAAAAATACTTGAAATTTGCTAATGACAACCCATGCAATAGTAGCGAGATGGTCATGTCAGAGATATCAGATGAAAAATGTACAGATGATCCACAATTCACCTTCCAAGAATCATCAAGAGAGAAACAAGGAGACCCAAACAAAAGAGAAATTCTTCATCTGGACCAGAATAACAATGATGCCACTGGCAACAGTGATGAAGTGGTTCATATTATAGGCATTAGTGATGCCATTTCTGGTCCTGCTTTATGGTCCAATCTAATGTTGAAAATGGGAGATTTGCTAGTAAGCAACAGTCCATCAAAAGTAAAGGACATGGATTTTCTTCTGGATGAGCAGAATTGCCATTTGTCTATCACATTTTTGTACACAAATCTTGAAAACAGGGAAGTTCTGAAGCAGTGCTGGCTGCTTTACTCAGAGTCCACTGACAAGGTTTTTTGTTTCTGCTGCAACCTCTTCAACTTGAATCTAAAATCATCCCTAGCATTTGAGGGGTCAAATGGCTGGAAGCACATCTCAGATTCTCATGCATCATGAAAAGTCATCTAGTCATTTCAATTCCTGCTGAACATGGGTTGAAGCAGAGCAAAGGATAAAACAGGATAATTGCATAATCTTGGTGTTGATATAGTGCCCCACTAAACCAGCCCCACATATTCATCATAAAAAGCATCAATTCAGTTACGAATGTAAAAAGGAAACAGTAATCCAGAAGTCAAGCTGAAACTTGAATTTTTCAACCGGCTTATAGACATGGTAAGACTGTCTGTGGAAGAACAGTTTGAGCAAATGTATCAACGCGTGAGCTTTTGAGGCTGTCTATATAATATGATGCAACTCCCTGAAAGAAACTTTGAAGAAGCACTGTAAAGTCCTTCATTGTGGGCTGACATATGGAGAGAGCTCTGACATTAATGACGCTGACCTCTACAAAGAACTTGGCTATCTCCAAAGTCTACTTCCAAGGGAGTGTAATGCTCCTCAAGAAGTTATACAATGTATTTACAACAATGAACCTCATGACAACTTCCCAAACATATGCATAGCACTCAGGACCCTGTTAACATGCCCATATCAGTGGTGAGCAGCAAACGGAGCTTCTTGAAGTTGAAGGTCATAAAAACATATTTACAATTGACCACAGGAGATGGCAGGCTATCTTTTCTGGCCATCCTGTCTATCAAGAATGTTTCTGGCTCAAAATGTAGACTTGTCACGAACAATATCAACAAAGGCATGCAGAATTATCTTCTGAGTCTTGGAAAGTTGGTGAACAAAGTTTTTAACTTGTTATTGTTATTATTAGCGTTTACTTTAATGTCTAGTTTATTTGCCACAGCTATAATGTTATTTTTATGACGTATATCATTCATTATGTGAATAAAATTGAATTTAATTGAATTTTGTGTCATTTTCACTTTTGTTTTTTGGGGGTTTTTTGGTAAATTATAAAAAAATTTGATATTATAGCTTTATTTCTGAAGTGGGAGGAGGAGGGACAGCAAAATACAAGTTTGCCCAAGGTGTCATTTTCTCTAAAGCTGGCTCTGCCTGGGGCAGAGAGCCTAAGAGCAATGCCAGACATGCCCTCAGGGCAGCTACAATGCCTCATTTTCAAGAGCTGACATGCACAGAACAAAAGCAACTGAGCAGAGTGCTCCATGGCAGCTCTCCCCAAGCACAGCATATCTTTAGACCCCCTTATGTCTAGACCCATGCAGTGAAAGCCTAGTCTACAGAAGTCAGTGGAAGTTTTTTATTTCACTGAGGTCATCATTTCTTCCATGGTTAGGAGTACTGCATATTGTCCTGCCAGCTATTTTAGCATTCCCATTGTTCTGATATGTTCCAAGTTTCCTGTGCTATCTATTACAATTATTAACCAATTTGTTACAAGTCTCTTACTGGTCATTTTCTGCTCTGTAGCTTACTTCAGAAATCCCCCCCATTTGGATTGTGTATTATATACAGTCATCCTTTTAAAAAATCAGGTTTAAACATTCTGATATATTACATGTATCCATGCTGTCTGAGGGAAATTTCCCCATGCAACCTTCACAATCCTGCTATCCATTATCTAATAAACTGGAGAAAGATTTGGGGAACTTAATTTTCAGAGCACCTTTAGCTTTTTTTCATGCTTTTTTAGGCTAAAGTATTTACAAACTCCGCTGCTGTTACAAAATTCAAGCAATCAGGACATTTGTTAGGCCAAATTCTACTTTTAGTTGCATGTCCGCAACTCACCTCTGTGAGTTTTCAGTACATACCTTAGGGCAGAGTGTGATACTAAATATTTTGGAACAAGGACTCAAAAGTACTGAGCTGTGATCTTCTGAGTGGCAAGAGTATGAAAATTAAAAAAGAAGAGATACCCTTATGAACAGTAGAGATGATCCACATAAAGTCCATTAGTTGCATATGAGAAGTTTTACATTTCTACTGGCATTAAGGAGGTAAGAACCAGCTCTTTCAATTCCAAGGAAGACCGAACAAATTTGTCTGTCACACCAGTATAAACCAGAAGCAACTCCGAAGTCAGTGGCTTGAGAGGACAGTAAGACCTAGTACATGCAATATTTAAACAAGTTTAGGGCAAGTGTGTCACATTCACTCTCTCTCTTCAAGTATCACTTCAAAACAGACTGACAGAAAGAGAAAAGGAAGCACTACCTTTTGATGGGAGGTTTCGCTCATGTCTAAAAGCTTGATAATCTGGGGCAGTCGCATTTCATGAGTGCTAGCCAGCTTCTGTTCTGTAGTAAGAGACATCTCCTTCAGGAAGGCAGAGGGAGTCAGCTGCAATTTAAAACAACAGCAGCCAAAGCTACATAAATTCTTACATTGAGAAAGGTTTTTCTTGTTAAAGTGCCACTGATGAATAATTTGTGTCCACAGCCGTTAGAATACTCCTGGAACTCCTCTAAGCTGCCTACTGAAATATTTAAAATCAGTAAATTAATTATATAGAGCAGAATACACATGCACTGACTAACTGGTTCCATCCCATGAGCCTCTTCTTCAGTTGTGATTTGAAATGACATGTGTTTGGGGATTTATTTTTGTTTGGTTAATTGACTTTTCTTTAACTTTGCTGGATCAAGCAAGCCACTCTGAAGCAGAAAAGCAACAAAAATCCCATGACTCCATCGTACACAAAACTCACTATGTGTAGGGATGACGTCTCCAGGGGAACTGCCAGATCAAAGCACGAACGAAATGGAGTGAGAACCCTCAAGAGTTCAAGTTGAAAACATCTGTTTTTAATAAGCAGTTTTCTTCTTTTTTTTTTTTGTCCTTATCAACCTATTGGTCTAAAGAGATGTTACCTTGAAACAATCTTAGTCTTGGGTCAAATCATGCCTACCTTATTTCAGACAAGCCCCACTTAGATTAATGGAAAGTGGGTGTTACGCAAAATCATTCTACCAGCCATTTATCTAGCCACAATTTGCTTGATAAGAAGTCAGTGGCTCAGTGCTTCCCTGAAGTAGAAAGCAGTTTGGTGCAGGGCTTAAGAGGGGACAAGGATGACATTATGGCAGTTCTGTGCCTCCTGCATCTTGGACCAGCTGAAGGTACAAGTTAGATCAACCTGAAGAGTCCTGGCAGTAAAAACTGGAATCCAGGATTCTCCCCTACAATGGAGAATGCCATAAACGCTAGCCTACAAGGTCAGTCATTTCTGTCAGTCTCTTTTTTTGGCATTAAACAACCATTAGTTAAAAAAACAAAAACAACACTGGCTGTAGGGACCAGAATTTGAAACTCTCCCCTCATAGGGGAGTGCTGTAACTATGAGTCTACAGTCATGCTCCCTGCTGCTTACTCTTTTTGACTCTGTTGACCACTCAATGACCCAGATTCGACATGAGGGGTGGAGGGTGCCCTTACCTACCCCATACCATGGACCAGTGTTTAGGGCACTCACCTGGAAAGTGGTTCAAATCCCCTCAGTATGATGCAAACCTATAAATCAGGCTTGTTATTCCCTGGGTGAATGCTCTAACTGCTAGAGTACTTGGCAAAAGGTAAGCAGCGGCAGTATCACCACCTTCCCCCCAGAAGTGGGACTCCATGTAGTGGATCACAGGTGAACAGAGATGCCTTATGTTCAGCCTGATTCTGGCACCTAAGCTCTGGAGAGACACAGAAGTTCAGGTACACCTGTGTTGGCTACCTTCAAGCTTTCAAGAGCTCCCTTTAGAGGCAACTCCCTCATTATTTTCTATATAGAACCTCAACACACCTATATGGGGTCAAACCGGGTCACTTTTCAGAAGATCCTATGTCTCCCTATTAACTGTATAGGGATTCTAGGTGCCTAAACCTGATCAAGTTGAACTGCTCTCTTGGAGTGAGGCACTGAGATTTTAAGCATAGGGGTGCTTAAACATGGGTGCCTCCAAGATCACACTTTACCTGAATCCAAAGCTCACAGGGGGCACTGTATCAGCTATGTATAGTCAAAGTCCAGCAGTACTCGAGGCATGCCATTTTCTCTCAAAGATCACTCCTAGCACATGTTCTCCTTCAAGGCATCCCACAGGCAATGGTATCAAGCCATGTCAGTGTATCTACGCCAGCTACAGAAGTCCCTGCATTAGGAGAATTCCCCAAGGATGGATCTTCCAACAGTGCCGAACAGGAGTACTCTCAGGACCAATGGCTTGAAGAGCAAACTCCTGCTCTGCCATCCATTAGTATCACTGCATTAATTAAAGATGTATTTTTAATTCCCACCCCAAGGAAACTGCTGCCTAGCTATGCTTCTCCCCAGCATCATCTTTACTCCAGAATTTGTGAAGGATAGTATGCTCTTCTTTCCTTCCACTTTCCTACAATCCATTGATTGCTGACCCCAGAGAGGCTTCATGAAGTTGCAATATAAAAGGAGGTGGGACTTCCCCCCTCCCTGCATACAGAGAAGATAAGGGGATATGGACCAACTCTAGTGATGTCCAAATGTTCTGGCCATGTTAAGTACTTACAGTCATAGCCTTTTCTTCCTCTCTGACCAGCTTAGGATTGCGAGGTGCTACAACTTTGCTCTGGAATCCTTTGGGCATCTTGGATGATCCCAGAGATTGATGAACCTTGCCAGCTGGCATCTTTCTCAGCTCATTTGGAAGCAGCAGCAGTATGATTTCTGAAACCCAGAAATGAACTTGTAATTAAAAGGCAAAGTTTTCAGTGACAACATATACTGGCCCCAACTCTTGCTGTCTTACATTTTATTTAGTCATTGCATGTATGCTGAAAAGAAGAATCTACTGAATAAGAACAGAAGGCCTTTTTATACCCACTTTGTACAGGAATAAATGACAACAAAAGGTGCAAAGCAGCACTGACTTGAATCCAAGGTGCCTTGTGAGACCTATAGGAAAGTGCTAGATTAGGGAGTTGTAATAGGTAATGCAGGGCCTGCTTTTCCTCCTACGGTGGTGCAAGTCAGAATAAAATACCTGAGTCAATGCAGTTACATCAGCATGAAATGTACAGTAGAGGTAATCCATGCACATAGCCCTCCTCAGTAGACTCACTTCTACACCCTAAAAGCCTTCTGCTTTATTATTTGTGAGCACTTTGAAAGAAAAGTCTTCTTGGGGAACCTGAATTAGGAGCATGTGGTGAGTCACTTCCATAATCACTTGCTTATTTCCCCAGTGACTTCTGATGAACTAAAGACTGCAGAGATGGGGTTGAGCCAAGTATAATTCCAGACCATGCAAAGCCAGTAAAAATACTGAAGGGCAGCAACCTCCACTTTGACAACCTCTGCTACTGAGACCCAATGAATCTAGACAGCCATGGTACCACTGGTCAAACCCTTGTCCTAGTCCAAGAAACCCTCTCAGGAGATGTCTATTATAGCTTCTGTGGAGCAGCAGAATGTAAGACACACATTCATTTTATGCACAGATGACCTTTACAGCCATCCATTCCCCCAAGCAGAAACACAGTTCAGGTATTTGTGCCCTATGTACCACCTACAGAGACTGAGACTAAGGCTGTATACATACAGTCAAATGATCTGGAAGAATACTCGTGGGTTTGTTCTCCTGGTGGAAAGACTTACCCTGAAATGACCAAACACACATGCAGATAATGAGCCCTTGAAGAGCAGAAAGCTTACAGTGCTGACTCTGCACAGTCAGGGGCACATCTTGGTGTGCTCCGCACCCTCCTCTGTCTGCCTGAAGACAAAATGGCAGCAGTGCACAGATAGTGGTGGGGGCAAAGTAGGAGGACAGTGCTGTGTCTTCTCTCAGAAGAAAGCCTGTGCAGACATTTGCTTTCCCAGGAGAAACTCTCCTAGGAGTGATTTAACCCCAGTTGTTGCCAGCTTATTTTTCTCCTCAACTGGCCCTTTTTCGTTCTAGGAAAAAAATTCTAAATATCTATATACTTATGGTACAAAGCAACAACTCTCCCAGGAGAAACTAAATGTCTGTATATGGCCTTAGTGAGCAGAACAGATGGGTTACAACAGGAACAGCAGCTCAGCACAGATATCTAGCTCTTTAATAATTACCTGTTTTACAAAGAATGGAGAGAGAGCAGCCAAAACAGGAGAAACCATGCTCTGAGACAGAAAGGCCAGTGGTATCAGTATGAGCTTAAGGGGGTTGGGAGAACAAGAAAATGCTATTTGAGATTATCTAAATGAAAAAGTACAGGAGTTGCCATGCACCCAACTATCCTCATCAGCAGTTAAGCCTTTCCTCTATTCTTACCTATGGAAGGAAAACCTAACATTATTTCCTTGGAACAGTACTTCTGCTTTAAAATCCTTACAGTCAGCTCGTGCACAGGTCAGCTTGTTCAGGAATCAGTCTCTTCTGTGTTGAGGAGGTGGGTTTTATAATAGTCTCTCTTTAACATTTTATATATATATATATATATATATATATATATACACACATACACACACACACACACACACACAAAATTATAAAGTGTGCATGTCCATGAGGTCTGCTGCCTCCCAGAGGCCGATATCTAGGATGTGGCAGAGAGGATTCCTAAACTCATCCAGCCCTCCAACCACAACCCCATGCTCCTCATCCATGTGAGCACAAATGACAGCTCAGACCAATCCTGGTCAGGTCATGAGTGACTACAGGGCTTTGGGGGCTGGGCTTAATGGGTTGGGGGCACAGGTAGTTCTCTTCTCGTGCTCCCAGTTGTGGGCCATGGGCTTAGGAGAGACGGATTTATCAAAGAGGTGAACCAAAGTCTCTAGTGATGGTTCTACTGAGAGGGTTTCAGTTTCCTTGACCACAGCATGCACTTCAGAGACAGAAGTCTTCTGGGAAGGGACAGTACCCACCTCACACTGAAGGAGAATGCTCTTTTCTCGGCCAGGATAGCGGTCCTTCTGGACAGGGCTTTAAACTGAGATCACCAGGGGATGGGGAGGATGGGGGTACAACGAGTGGCACAAGCCCGGGGTCAACAAATAACAATTACAACAGGAGATGACAGGAACAACAGTACAGCATGGGATGAGGAAATGGAGCTCCCTCAATGTGACAGGAAACTGAGGATCTTCAGCAGAGGGCTCAAATGCCTGTTAAGCCTGTACCCAGGTGGGAGGCTGCCTATTTAGGCCCCCAATGTCTAGCAGTGAAACCCATTCCACAGCTCCGTACCTTCCCTACACTGTGGCCCATACCTCACAGATTGCATCCTTCACCCTCTCTAGCTGTGGTACCCTCTCTGGGACCTCTGGCTCCCTCTTAGGCCCTGGACCTGCCTTCAGACTATGTTGGAATCCTGAGCCTCTTGCTCTGGGCATACCTTTCAGTGGGCCCCTGGCCCCCCGCTTTTGGTCCTGGCCCCAGCACAGACCAGTCGAGGGTACCTCAGGTCAGATCTGAGCCGCCTGCCTGTTCTCACTCTCACAACTCCACTGCAACCAGTGAGCCTCAGGCCTCTCAAAGATCTTACAGGTCTGGGCTTTCCTCAGCCAGGACTGTGTGTGCATGTGGTGGCTGGAGGTTATCAGGCACTGCCTACCCACCTTTCACTAGGAAGCTTCGTGGTCCTGGCATTTCCTGGGGCTGCCGCATCACCGGCAGTCCCACCAGGCCTCCCTACCCTGGCAGGGTGCAGTTTTAGGTCATGCCCAGGACCTGAGGCCTCCTCCTTCCCCACAGTCCCAGTCCATACGTCCAAGTCCTTCCTGGCATGGGAGCTCCACAGAGAGAGATGTTTTTCCTCTGCTGGCTGGTGATAAACTAAACTGCTGCCTCCAGCTCTGACAGTGGGGCATTAAATGGTTCTGAAAGCAAATTAAAAAAGCAAACAGGTGCAGCATGAGGAGGGTGGCACTCACTCAATCTGCATGTGGAGCTTGGGGAACCCCAGCAGCAGGACATTCACCTTCAAGAACACCAGCTGTTCCATCAAGCCAGGATCCAAGGAGGTGCGGTGGAGTGTCACAACATCACTAGCAATGCTGAACAGCCTCTCACTTGGAACAATGGTCAGTGAACAGAACAGTTGTTCCTGGGCAACCATGGCCAGATTCTGCCACACCTGGCTGTGGGCTGCCCAGTAGGCCATGGGGTCCCAGTGCAGTGGCTCCATGTCCTTGGTGAGATAAGGAGGTAGTAGCCACCGAGGCCTCTGTGCTAACTGCCTGATGGTGGGGTCTGGTACCTCTGGACCCCAACATTGAAGCCATGCTCTTGGCCCACTTTGGCAGCAGCTGTGGTGGAGGTTGGAGTGCTGGAGGTTGGAGTGCTGGCACAGAAAAGTGGATCCCCTTCTTCCATGTCCCCTTGCCTCTGCCCTTCTGCCTCCCTGACTCTGTTCACCAGCACCTCCATCCAGTGATCAAGGGTTTTGCTGCTGCAGATGCTCCCCTTCATCCTAAGGTTGCACATGTCTGCCAGTATGTGGACCATACTGGACCGCAACAGATCCAGCTGCTTTTTGATGCTCTCCTTCAGCCACTTCACCAGTACCTGCACCTCTGGTGAAAGCAGCTTGCCCTAGCCAGAAACACTGATCCCTTGGAACTCCATTTGATTCTCAAGCTCCTTCACTATGGGGATCACCTGGCTAAGGAGAGTCTCACCAGCACTGAGGCTCTCAGTTGCCTTGAGGAATGGCTTGAGGACTACCAAGATCTGGGAGATGGTATCCCACTCCATTTTAAGGGGGCCCCTGATCCCAATCTCCCTGAGCAAGGCCATCTCATGGATGGCCTTCTGTTGCTCAACCAGCCTTTCCAGCATCAAGTATGTGGCGTTCCACCGAGTCTCCACGTTATGCATGATTTTGTGCTGCAAGATGCTCAGCTCTGCCTGTTTGTCCCACAGCATCTTGCCCTGCTTGATGCCCCAGTGGAAGTAGTCTCCCACCTTCCTGCATTTTGAAAAGAGCTGGCTGGCAGTGGTAGTGACAATGTTGTCACCAGGAGCCCTGTCCCCTTCCAAGGCATCCCTGACTATGAGGTAGAACTTGTGCCACAGAGCGGATGCCAAAGTTGGAATCATGCACCGCCTGCACCATACTGGCCCCATTGCCAGTGACCATGAACCCACGGGTGAGCTTGCCCTGCCCAACGAGCCACCCCTGCACCATGCAGTTCATGGCTACCATGATCTCCCTTGCCATGTGGGATGCATCCATCACCTCTGCTTGAAGGAGAGCCCACCAATGCTCTGACTGATCGCACCAGTGCCCTGTGAAGGGGTGTGTGAGAGAGAGAGAGAGAGATGCTTTCCTGCACAGTGATGCCACACTGTCAGGAAAAACACAGATTTCTTTTTGTGTAGGGGAAAAAAAGACAGGCTAACAAGAACAAATAAGAGGATTTTGGGGGAAGAATGAGTTGAGAGGGATAACAATAGGGATGGTAGGCAACGGTAAGTAGGAAAGGACTGGATACAACTTGATAGCAAGAGACAAGCTAGTGCTACCAAGCCAGAACATTTCAGATGCTGCTACAAGACAGACAGCTCACAAAAGGCACAGAAACTTATCACTTCACACACAGCCTTACATGTTGTTTCTACATCCCTCTCTCAGGGCACTGTAATTGGAAGGGAACTCAGGGAAAGATCACAGTCACTGGACAGCTACAGATGTCAATATCAGAGCAGTCTTACCCACCCTCCCACCTTCTCCCTCCCTCTTCTCAGTTTCT